TCCGGATGCGGGTTTGTGGATGAGAATGAGTGATTTGGCCTTATCTTCGGTTAATAACTGATTAACCACATTTGGGGATGATATCTAGGCAGTTATGAACCTCTGAAACAGAAAAAACCGATCGAAACAGCCTAAAAATGCGTTTAGGAGGTTACGGGCAGTTCTGGGCGCGAGACGGACTGATGTGACCCGCGTGGGCGCGGGTCGGATGGATCCGACCCGCCGCCTCGGACTGATCCGACCCGCCACCGCGGGTCAGTTTGAGACATCTTCGGTATTTTGGGCTTAACTCTTTCGTACGACCTCCGATTAAGCTAATTCAAGATGCGTTGGAAAGGTGACGAAGAGATTTACAACTTTTATGTTTTGAGATTTTTTAGATTCAAATCACAGCATAGTCAAAACTTTACTTCTTTGTATGGTCGGATCACTGTAGCCTCCGACCTGCGGTACTGTAGCACCAAGCCGACCCGTGCTCAATCCGACCCGCGGTTACTGTAGCAGAATTCCGACCCGCGATTACTGTAACAGCCTTAACTCACTCATCCGACCTCGGAATGAGGCGATTCAAGATGCGTTGGAAAGCCGACGAGGAGATCTACAGGCTCCCATGATTGAATTATATGTGGAATAAATGGACAACAGGGGTGCTCTACCTTTTTATAAACGACGCGGGGTTCCCGATCAGCTCTTGTTTCCGTTATTTCGAAGTTCCGTTGCTTCGTATGACCCGTCGACTCGCTTCATGTGTTTGTCGAGCTTCCGTGACTCTAATAATGATGTTTATCATCTTCACTCTGTCTCGAGCCGTGTGCGGACACCCATAGGCATTTTTAGACGCCTACAGTTAGAAGATATGATTGTTTTTTTGCGAAAATCATTAATACATATAAATCTATATTTAGCTCGTGATTGTCTGAATCCTCTGTGAAATTATTCGTTAAGTGTCCTACATCAGTTTTTAACTTGTTGAGATAGTTCGATTGAATTACAGTGTGTTTGACAACTGGGCAAACTGGCTTATAAGACACTTTTTTAGCTTATAAGTCATTGTAATATATTTGACAGCCGGCTTATTTTGGCTTATAAGCCCAAAAAATTTATAACCCAGCTTATTTTTTGATGGGTTATAAGCTATGTAGGTTGACCAAGTAAATATCAAGTTTACCTCTCAACATTTAAGATAATTCTAAAGTCTATTCAATGTTTAAATTTAGGGTCATATTTTTTTAGTCATTGTAACAACGATGATGAATTATAATCCACTCATTTGCTAAACAATCTCTTGTTAAAAGTGACTTATAATTCACTTTTTTTAACCAAATACTTTGGCTCATAATCCACACAGCTTATAATTCATTTGTGAATTATACGTCAAGTGGATTATAAGCCAAGTTTCCAAACATGTCGTTATATGGATACCTTTGTATCATCAAGTTTATAGAGGACAATCTTTTCGAAACAGAAAAAAGCAAAGATGATTTAATTGTTAAGTGAGTATGACTATGAGGTATTTAAGTGCTATATAGCCTGAAATTAACAATGAATTTCATCATCTGTCAATCCCACTATTATCTAGTTTATTATATTAATACATTTGTTGTGAGCCATACAAAAATTCAGTTTATAGACCTTTCCACGAGTACTAATCGAGTAAGGCAGATGAGTAATTTAAAAAAATAATAATAAACAAGAAAAAAGAAAATACACTCAGATTCCTATGGCAACTGCACCGATAACATTTCAACCTTCATCTGGGACTACTCTGGGACATTTTTGGATTTTTGTTGCGAGCAGCTGATTTGGTCAATATTGTACATATTTGAATCTCTGGGGATCACCCTCTTGAGCCTTGACCATCTTAATTAAATATGACTTAAAATTATTACGTAGCACTCAAAATGAACCTTATTAGCAGAATAAATCTTGACAATGATATTCATGTGCTTTGCTTATATATATGACAGAGTGACAAAGATTGCTTAAAGTCACAACAACTGTGATTAATTTAACCAAGATTCCATTGTTCCTATCTTATTTATTGACCTGCTCTCAACAAATTTTGGAACATTTGTCAAGCGAGCTTTTTCATTCTTGATGGTTTCTTACATTATGAATTAATTTTGGAAAAATGATTGAGTTTGTTCATAATTGAATTATAAGCTTTAATCATATACGTAACAGGTCTACTCGACGTATTCATTACACGCTTCCTTTTTTTTTTATGCCAGTGTATCTTTGTTGTATCCGATAATACTCGTACTTATGTAGAGATCAAAATTGGTTGAGCAGGGTCTTAATTAGTTTCATTTCGCTACAATCACCTTAAATAATTATAATTAACAAGGATAGCTAGCTACTGTGTGGTGTTAGTCAAGTACTAACAAGGCCAAACAATTTGACGAAGGAATTGACTACTGGTGATCTGAAGTTATTTCTTTACGAATTTGATGGCAAGAATCCAGCATCGGGTTGACCGTCAAGGGAGATCATGGGCATAAAACATTATGACAACCTAGCGTTCTTAGTTTGAATTTGGAATTTGAGGATTACGCTTGCCAAATATGTAGGATTGAAAGGCGACCAATGACCATTTTTAATCAACTGAGGAACCTAGCGATGGTCCTCTTTTATGTACATAGCTTTGTTCGGCATCAGATACGGTTGAAACGTGAGACTTTGATTCCTTATATACCAATCAAAAAGAGATGTTAATTATGTTAAGACTTATACATGATAAACTTGACTTCGTACATAATAAATTTATACTGTCATATTTTTCCCCCGCATGTACAAGCTTCGCAATGTAATTAGTTGCGCGCAATCATACGTGTAACTGTGTCATACAGAAGAGGAACTTGAGGGAAGAAGCACAACAAAAGATGCAAACTCAACAGCTTTTGCAGCTAACCAAACACTTTATTTGCAGTTAGAAATACTTTTTTCCACAATAAAAGTGTAGAAATCAAAACAACATATTTGAGACCAACTTCCTGCAACAAATTTGCACGCAAAATCTTCTCTCTTCTGCATGCAACGTTGTTCCTTTTAGTGGCAAAGGAGAAACTGGTTGTTATTGATTAATAAGGAGTTTTAAATTGGTGATTAGAGGGCTAAACCGCACGAGAGGTAGATTTCTTCTCAAGGGCACACCAAGACTAATTATTTCCATATATAAAATGCAATAATATGTGAATAGTAGTGAAAATTCTTTCATCCTAAGGACACTGGCAATTATATACATGGAGAAAGTCCGTCAAGCCTTGGGACATCATTCAATGAAACAGATGGCATATTTCACTCTTTCAGAAAAAGAAAATACTTTCTTCGCTATATTGAAAATGTTTGGAAGTGATCAACCTTAACAAACCACATTTTAGTGCACTATAGAATATTGATACGAGATTAGAAAGCAAAAGCACTCCCAAAAACGAGGGGAGACTGGAGGAAGAAGTCAAAACCACATCAGCATAGTAGCTAGTTTAACATAATAAAATTGTGACCAATTTACCTACGAGTAAGAAAGTAAATAATTTCATTGGTCAAGGTCCAACAACAAATTAGTAATAGGAAACCGAGCTGCAGATAATTAGTCCACCAAATGAAATGTCTTCTTTCATTCTTTCAACTTCACTCCATTTTTTCCTTCCCTTTTTTTTCCCTTTTCTTTTCGCTATGCACGTGCACGTGTATATGCGATCAGTTTGTGCGTGTATCATCTTTGCGCTACAAAAATTCACTTATATGGTTCTCCTGGGCATGTCATTACGCAGGTCTTCCGAATTGCTATATAGAAGCAATCTGTATCTCATTTTGTATGTACTAATGAATCATTGTCAATTGTCAAAAGATCGGTAATTAGCTTCAAACCAAACTACCAGCAGGCCAGTTTATACCCACAGCCAAGCAAATTGAACTATTAAACTCAAGAGGATGTGGAATATCTCAGGTATAGAGGTCTTGGAGCTTATTCATTGAATCCACATCGCAAATATCACAGAGATACCTCTCAAAGCCCGGGTAGGTGGTAATTATTTGAGGATTGATTCTAAATACATTATATATTGAATAAGAAGAAAGTTGGTGGTAAATGCTTAAAGGCACTGAATGAGTCTAATATGATGAAACTAGACCTTCTTTTCAAATTAATATCCCCAGTATCGCATAAGATGGCAAGGTACATTTCAAATAAATCTTTAGCACAGTTAGTTATCCTCATTGGAATAGCAACTGGACTTTAGATACAAGGAGGATTGATTTGTCTTCTCTGTACCACAATGGAAACTTCACTGAAAGAAGAAGGAGAAGAAAAATTAATCCATACCTAATCATGAAAGACTAAAAGTTGCACATAGTTCATCTTTATCCAGGATCTTAGCATGTTTGAAGTTCGAGCAGGCATGTCTTCTCCAATCCCACCCTCTAATGGTTGTCCTTCATACAAACAAAAAAGAAAGCAGAAGTTTCCATATTTTCTCCTTCTCCAATCCCACACTCTAATGGTTGTCCTTCATACAAACAAAAAAGAAAGCAGAAGTTTCCATATTTTCTCCCATAACATTCTTATTCGGTGAACTTCAGAGAAAAAAATTATATAGAGAGCTCGATATTCACATTAACATCTACCAAGTAAATGAACTCTAGTTTACATACCTCAAATTTGAAGGCATTTGATAATTTTCCTTGCAAAAAAAGGACCACCAACCAAAATAATAATAATAATAAAGAAGGACAAAAAGAAAAAAAAAAGATGATAAGGAGCTATTCTATATAGAATAGGGTGGACTCGGCAACCTTTCTAAATTCAGCATGTTTAAGAAAGACAAAGTTTCCATAACACGATACACTTTGTAACAGTTATATGATAATTCACTTAAAACAGTAGTAATATTTCATAGTGTATAACTTCTATTCTTACGTAAAATTGTTTTGTATTTACTACATCTGTCTTTAAGATCAACTCAAAGAACCCAAAATGCATTATAGATCAGAAAGATTAGCAAAGTCTTCATATAAAAGACAATCTCATTCCATCCTCAATATATTGCATACACGAGCCCTTTTTCCGATGGAAATGCATACATGAGCTTTTAATAAGTACATATATAGCTCCAAGTGAGACTAAGGTTATGCCTAATCTTAATCCTAGTGGTTAACTGCTCATGGGCATAGATTAAAAATAATGAGCAAGATAATGACCTCATTTTCCAACCCTTGCATTTACAGTCCTTGCCTCTTTCAGCAAACTAGTAGCATTTGACGTGATATCAGTTAGTTCTTTAACAACCTCTCTCATCGATGGCCTTTCGCTTACGTCCTTTGAAGCACATCTCAAAGCCAACAGAAGAACTCCATGAACTTGTTCTTGTAATTGAACAGATGCAATGATTTCGTCCATAAGACTGGGATCAACAACTAATTCTATATCATCACTAGAATCCAAGGTTGTGCGCACCCAGCTCACTAAGTCGGTGTCCTCAGGAAAAGATGGCTCCAAAACCCTCTTTCTTGTTATCAGTTCGAGTAAGACCACGCCGTAGCTATAAACATCTGATTCCTTGCTCTTTCGGGTGGAAAATGCTGTCTCTGTTGAAAGACATGAGGATTTGGTACATAAGCTAATGTACTTTTGTTCTATATAAACTACACAGAAACTATTAAAACTAACATGCAATGGCTGAAAACACAGTATAGATGAAACAGGTATTCAAATTTTAAAACGAAAGAAACAAATAAACAGAAGATTGCATGACTACAGTTGATTTCATAGATTTGAATTAGCATCACTGGTGAGACTCCAAGCACTATTTTGTGAGCCAGGAGTTATCTGGCATCCATTATGTTCAAAAAGATGAGAAATAAGTTTCCAAGTAACTAAAATAATTTAAAAGCTTAGGCTCAGACCTTTGCTACAAAAATTTGTTGGTTTTAAACTCAGAGGCTAAACTCATAATATACTTGACTCTTTTCTCTTCAAGGAATCTCATCGACTCTTTAATTAGCCTTCTACATAACAATCACATTTGTGATTGCGCCCATATATGATCCTAAACAACTCAAGTATCAGATCCAATTACAGGATCCTGGCAATAATTTTTTTTGTTATGTATAAAACTTATCCATGAGTTCAATTACATAGAAGTACAGCAATAAATACATACCTGGAGACATATAGCCAATGGTGCCCACGATGGCAGTAGATTGAGAGGAGGCAGAAGACATTTGATCGATGATCCTCGCAATGCCAAAATCTGATATATGAGGCTCCATTTCCGAATCCAAAAGTATGTTTTTGGGTTTTATATCACGATGAACAATAGCAGGATCACAATCTTCATGAAGATAAGCCAATCCGTGAGCAGTTCCAAGTGCAATCTTATATCTCACATTCCATTCCAAAATCAGTGGAGGCTTCATCTCGTGTAAAACATCATGAAGACTTCCCCCTTCCATGAACTCGTACAGTATTAGTCCATGATCACTTCTTAACCAAAAGTTTACCAATTTCACTAAATTCCTATGTCTGATATTGCCCACTGTTTGAATTTCTCTAATCATGCTCATGTTTGATTCCTTCTGAGGTTCAAAAACAAGCTTTTTTACCGCATAGACTTTATCGGGGCTTAGAGAAGCTTTGTACACTATTCCATCCGCTCCTCTTCCCAATTCATACTTTTCATTTAAGTTATCGGTTGCCTCCATAATTTTGGTAAGTAATAAAGATAACCCTTGCTGCAAAGAAGGCGTCCTCTCCTCTGGCTCGCCACTTTTAAGCCTTAGTAGTACACAACCCAACACAAGACACACCAAGAAACACAACAGTGAACAGCCAATAATTATTACCACAACATAAAGCTTGCTGAGGCCTTTTGATTTCTTCGATGTACTACATGGTTTTAAAGGAGAAATCTTTACGCATGAATAATCATCAGGTTGACAAGAGATACAAAGATCGGGATTGCCCAAGAAAGAGGTTGGATTGGAGATAACAAGTTTCATTAATTTCTCTGGTATTGGACCAGTGAAGTGATTATAAGAAACATTCACCTCGAGTAACGAAATTAGATAAGCCAATGATTTAAGGCTTCCTGTCAAATTGTTGAGAGAGAAATCCAAACTCTGCAGTCTATTCAGGTTCCCAAGCTGATTGGGGACCTCTCCAACAAGTCCATTTAAGCTAAGATTTAGAGCTTCAAGATTCTGTAATGTACTCAAAGATGAAGGGATAGTACCTCCGAAAGAATTTCCTCCAAGTCTTAGCTCGAGAAGCTTTTTGAATTGTGATAAGAAACCTGGAATTCCTCCACTGAACTTATTCCTTTCAAGAATCAACCGAGAGAGAAGAGTTAGGTTAGTTAGACTTGAAGGAATCGAACCATTTAGAGAATTTGAACCCACATCCAAAGCAAATAGATTGGAGCACTGTGAAATTTCTTGTGGAAGCTGACCATATAAACCATTGTAGGAGACATTCAATTCTTGAAGACAAACCAAATAGCCAATTTCTCGAGGTATAGGGCCAAAAAGTCTGTTCCTTGACAAATTAATCTTAGTGAGATTCTCACAGTATCCAAGTGTTGGAGGGATAAAGCCATTCAAATTATTCACACTCAAGTCCATATATACCAAACTTGAACCTTTCCCAAATGCAGGAAGAGAACCAGTTAGGTTGTTATGATCAATTCTTAGCCGTCTCAAAGTCAAACAGTTCCCAATATCAAGAGGCACGCTTCCTTGCAGAAAATTGAATGGAAGGTTAAAAACCACTAACTTTCTCTGAAAGCAAATATGAGGAGGAATGTCCCCAGTAAAACTATTGTTAGTGAAATCAATTTGAACTAAACTACTGTTGATCCCTAAGCCTTGAGGGATGACTCCAGTGAACTTGTTATTAAACAGCGAGATGTTCTTTAGATTCTTTAGCTCAGTTATCTCTAATGGCAGCTTCCCTGAGAGACTGTTGCTGTAAATGAGAAGATTCTCAAGGGTCTGGATCCTCCAAATATCAATAGAAACCTCTCCTGTCAGATTATTCCGAAACAAAAATAAACTCTGCAAGTTAGTCAGCTTGCCCAATTCATTTGGAATGGCCCCTTGTAGCTGATTTTGATACAGTTGCAAATCCGTCAGAGATGTGCAGTTCCCAATTTCAGTAGGAATCGAGCCTGACAGAGAGTTCATAGACAAGTAAAGAACTGAAAGCTCGGTCAGTAAACCAATAGAAGATGGAATTTCTCCTGATAACTTATTGTTAACTACATCGAACGATGTCAAACTACTGCAATTTCCTAACCCAGTTGGGATATTCCCTTCAAATTGGTTATATGACACATACAACTCTTGAAGATCCTGACAACTGCTTGGTATCATAGGAATCTTCCCGGTAAAAGAATTACTACTGGCATCCATGAAGGTAAGGCCTTTGATTTTGTTTAAGGTCTCTGGAAGTGGCCCAGTGAGCTGATTGTGATCGAGATAGAGCTCGACTAACTTAGTGCAATTTCCGACGGAGTCAGGCAAGGACCCTGATAACTGATTGTTACTCATCCAAAGGATTTTGAGTTGAGTCAAGTTTCCAATGCTATTTGGGACAGGACCAGTGAAATTATTTTGGTTGAGAAAGATTGTGTCAAGACGCCGAAGCTGAAATAACGAGTTTGGTATCTTCCCACCAAGGAAATTGCTAAAAAGGGACAAATAGGATAATCTCTTGAGACTCTCGAGAGACCCAGGAAGCTCACCAGTGAACAAATTGACAGAAAGATCAATGTATCTAAGAAAGCTGCAATTGCCCAATTGAGACGGGATCGAACCCGTGAGGCTGTTGTTGCCAAGATCAAGTATTTGGAGATGTTTGAGGAGCCCAATCTCTGGTCCTAATGAACCAGAGATTTCACTTTGTGGCAAGTTTAAAAAGATCACATTGTGGAACCTATCACAACGGATTCCTACCCATTTGCATGGAGTTGGGTCTGAAGAGTTCCAAGTGGAGTTAATGGAGGGTGGAAGCTTGAAATTCTTGGCAAGGGAAAGCAAGGACTCTCCATCAGAGTTCAAAGCATAGGTTAATGGAATTGTAGTGAAGAATAACAAGGGAAAGTACCAAACGGTAGCACCCATTAATCAAAACTCTGTGGAAATCTGACCCAAAATTGCTGATTTAACCAAGCAAAAAGAAACAAGAAGAAAGCCCCTACCTAAGAAACATAACACGTTGAAAAAAGATTGCTGAAGTACGAGTGCAGGTTAGTAGTTCCAGCTAGACGAAGAAGAGTGAAGAACAACACAAAAAGAACTATACAAACCCAACTCGAAGTAATTGTTGAAGAAATCAAAAGAAAGAAGGGGAGGGATTTTCTTTGCCTTTATAAGATGTGACCCCTGTATGCAGCTCTTTTCCTCATGGCCTCCTCTCGGCTTGTTTCAGGCTTTGAGGTTACACTACAGTGATCCAGAGCAGAGCAGTAGACATATAAATAAATGGTAAAGGTGCTGTTACCGACCAAAAATAGGATTAGTGTAAACAAACCAGGCATGGATAATGAATGCTACGTCACATTTACTTTATTATTATTTGATGTTTTAAATCTTTTATTTACCAACCATGCTCCACTCGAACACCCACAGCCAAAATAAAAGCATTAATAAAAGATCGGGTTTATACTGAGAGGCAAAGCTTCGCGTATCGGCGAAAGCCAGGGCTGGGCTTTAAAATTTGTTTGGCACGAGGCGAGGAAAAATGACAGGGTACTGACGAGCTACATAAATTCTCACTGTTGTTGCCCGTGAGCTTGGGACAGAGAGCCTGGATGAGGTCACCTCCCATAGTTTATTAGATTTTTTTACTAGCTTGTTATTCATAATTACTCTAATTTTAGTTGGAATCGTTTTTGTTTTTGTTTATTTCCACCAAAAACTTAGCAATGGCTTTTATTGCTAACGTCTCCCTAACAATCCGTAATTACTTAAGGGGAAAACTGAAACGGGTGGGTACCTGTGGATTCTAGAAAGGTGGGATGTAACTAAATTACGAGATAATAACAGAATTCTTACACTAATTTAATCAGGAGATTGATATACATGGACGCATAACCAAATTATTAATTGTACAATTGATTGTGACAGTCATGTCTCAACTGCAATATATTTTGTTTGTAATGTATCCTCATTTGTTTTCCTGCGCGTCTGAACTTACCAAAAGATTCAATGTTTTTTTATGCTCAGTTGGTTATCCAGAAATATCACGCACAAATTTTTCTTCTTTGTTTTTTCTTTTTTTTTCTTTTTTTTCTTTTTTGTCTTTTTTGTTTATGAGAGCAAATAAACGATTCTGATAATTTTAAAACAAAGCCATCGGAAGCAATACAGTGGGCCCATAAAACAATAATGGATGACAGCTACCCCTGCACTATTTTTTAATTTTTGTTTTTTCAAAAAACCAAAACAGATCGACGGCCGACCTTCCACCGTCTACACCCTTTGAAGATGCTTTGACGCTTGTACTCTGTACTGCACAAAACACACTTCTCGAAAGCTCCAGCATTAAACCTTTTCTTCTAGGCAGTTCATATAGCTTTTCGTGATTCATTCTGGTAACGAGTTGACCATTAAAAAAAAAGTTGGCATGATGCACAAAACTCGTGCATCACACCAAACTTTGGTGCAAATGCAAAAGGAGATCAACACTTTTTCGCGTCAGTTGAAGATGAACCTTCTACATTACTAACGGAGATCAACACTTTTTCGTGCATCACACCAAACTAATCTCGGATGATTTCATTCACACACGTTCAGAAGTAGCGAAGTCTAATTATTGAGTACAGCCTGACGGTCTGTGTAAGGCTCTGACGAACTTTAGGTAGAAAGTTAAAACAAGGAGGAGAATTTTTTAAAATTAACCTTTTTTAAAACAATATAAGCAAAATTGACATTCATACTAAAATTAGCAAAAACGACCTCCTTTTGACTAGCTCATCACAGCTAGCCAAAAAGAGATCAAAGTCGCAAAAATAAGTTATAAATTACACGGGACTAGTAGTCTCGTGTAATTATGAAGCGCTACGCGCAAGAATTAGACGGGTAGCAAGAATTAGATGGGACTAGCAGTGCTGTATACTTTTCCCCCATATATAAACACCCGCCCATGACTCTCTTCCTCATCACACCTTGTGACTCTCTCTCTCTCTCCTTCTTACCCTTCTCGTGCCCTAACCTCTCTGATCCCTATCTCCTTGCCCCCAAATCGACACCTCTTGCCTTGACCGCTCACATCCAAGGCTACCTCAGAGTCCACCATCGCTTCTGAGTCCACCAACCTCTCGTCCACAGCTCACATCTCACAAACGCAATCGAATAACAAAATCAACCGAATAACGATGAAGCTAGACCTTCGCAACATGTAGGCGTCCCAACCACAAACGCAACCAAGTAACAAACTCATCCAAGCTCGGGATCGTGGAGAAGGAGGACAAGGACATGTCCGAGATACAAGACAAAGTTTACGGAGTATATTATTTGTGTCTTGGCTTTATTCCAATATGTATCGAGAGAGTACGTGAGGTATACTTTAAACTATTTGTGCTAAGTTATTTATTGTTGTGTGTGGTGGAATGAGAAGGGGGTTATATTAAGATATGTATCCATGTGAGACAGTTTTTGGATTTGTAAATGAGTTTGTGGTATGATGTGCGGTGGGAATTAGAAATGAATTTGTGGTGTGTCATTATACAGGAAATGCAAATTTGGTTTGTGTTAGTTTTATTATGAAATGTATCGATATGAGACGGTTTTTGGATTTGTATAGAAAATACAGAACTAGAGATGGTTTTTGGATTTTTACAAGTGCACATGCACATAAAACGTGCACATGAGAACTGCCTAAGAAATTCACAGGACTACCAGTCTCGTGCATTTTGATTTTGGCCCAGAAATTAAATCATTTTGAGCTGCAAACTCTCCGCCCAAAACACGAGATTAGCAGTCCCATGTAAATCATTTTTCCACCGCAATGTTTCTGCCCAAAACACAACTAGCAGTCCCGATAAAATCATTTTGGGTTGAACGTCTTAACCCAAAACACGACTACTAGTCCCATGTAAATCATTTTGGGTTGAATGTCTTTGCCCAAAACACGAGACTGCTAGTCTCGTGCGCACTGTTTGGGATGAATTAGACCCACTAATTGCACTGGGCTACTAGTCCCATGTATATTTAAAAAATTCCTTTAGCAAAATCAACCGTTTTCTACCCACGATGCGCTGACGTGGGCAAAAGACGGTCGTTTTTGCTAATTTTCGTCTAAATAGGTCGATTTTTCTAATATTATTTCAAAATAGATCCGTTTTAAAGATTTGTCCAAACAAAAAATCATTCTGGTACATTAAAAGTGCTGCCAAATTGGTGAATATATTACTATCAATAACAAAAGCCTCCTCTTTTTCCCCCATTTTTTTTTTTGGCGAGATTGATTCATACTAACCACAATGAGAGGGTGGAGGTATCTCAATCTTGTTTAATTAAAGAGAGGATAAAAAAAATAACTTCAAAAATACACTCTAGCGAAAGGAACATGCTGTCAACATAGAGTGCAATGTCATCTACAAAGTTGAAATTAGCACAAAACGAGATTCAACTCATATCAAGGTGAAATTATTAAGTAAGAAATTTAAAAACGAAAAAAGGGAAGTCCCGCAACACAGATTACAAGTTTGAATATGGATTATAAGATGGATATGGCTAAAATGAGGGACCGTCAGTATTACCAACATTGACAACACTAAAAATTTGGAACTTTATCCAAAACTGGGAAAACCTGATAAGTTTGCTTTGGTTTCATCTCAAAGGAGGGGGAAAACCCGAGTCGAAATCGGTACAAATAATTGCTGGGAATGAGGTCAGCGGCTAAAGGAATTTAATTCACACAATGGCGTATTGACAATCCAACAACCTCTGTAATAGATTATAGATTAATATGGAAAAGAGCAGCAAAAAGCCAAACTACTCACATCGCACTAAGGTTAAAAAATAGTAATCTGCCACAAAGAGCTACCTAGTGGTATTGAAAGGGACTTCAATAGGAATTTATTTGAGTAATATTCCCATGAATTCATGGGAGTGCAGAAATGAGAAGCCATAAAGATAGTTGGAATAAGAAATTTCTGACTAATAGCAATGCATGCACGAAAAAAATTTATCATTAATAACCTAGCATGTAGGCACGTGCCATGCACGTACAAAAATATGAAATTTATCCAACTAATCTAATATCATACTTATAAGTAATTAGTAATTTGACAATGATTTATGTAATTTTATTATAGAACTATACTAAACTGTTATTTCATAATTAAATGAAAAAGTATTCTTAATACAATTTGCTAAGGAACTTCATTAATTTATTGAGAATAATGTATTGGGAGCAAGTGATTTAAACTAGAAAAAGAAGAAAATTGAAGAGTACCGCTATTTGATTATGTGATTTAGAATGTTCTAGAAATAAGAAAGGAAATGAAGAGAGAATAAAAAGGTCTTGCAAATTACAACTTCAATTATGTCAGTCAAATCCTAGTCCCGTGTCATTCTAGAAATAAGCAATGAGAATAAAAGAAAGGAGTGTGCGCTCACTTTGACCTGCAAATTTACCAATATACCCCTCTTTTCTAATGGTGATGAATAAAGACATTCCAACTTTATGGTACCGCTCATTGGTTTTCTATATAGAAGTATAGACTTGAGTGGCGATGGCACCAAGAATCGAAAGAGGCATATAAAACGCAGACGGGAAGGAGGTCAACAGAAAGCTCGACTAATTTATAAAAACATCAGTAGAAAACTGTAAACACTACACAAGGTAATCATGACGGAAACAATCTTAGGATACTGGAATTAGGAAAACAAGGTGAGAACATGAACTTCTTTAAAGTTTAAACCCTCACGGGATGAGGAAAATGATAAAACAGTCAATCTAACCATTAGGGTTTGTGATTACGCTTAACTGACACTGAAGACACTGCTTATGCTAAAATAGCTTGAAGGAGGCACAAAAAGTCTAAAGATGCAACGGGAACCAGACAAATCAAATGAACTAAAAGAAGTATATCTCAATTAGTTGTCAAAAATATATTTAAGAAAAAATACCATGATTAATTCCCCTCACCATTGCAGCGGGACATCTCATATAACTAAAGAAAGAAAGTTCACCCTCATGACGAAACATGGATATAAATCACTCACCTCTTGCTTTCCAGTGAACAGCACTCCATATGTAAGTTCGTCCCAGTAAAATTTCCAGGTTTTTCAGTTTTTCTTCCTTAGCCTGGAGAAGAAGCACAATCATCAGTGTCAACCTGAATGAATTTATGGAATGAATGAATGGATGGATGGATGGGTGAATATGAATTCACGGTTATGCTCTCCAAGCTACCAAGTGATAATGTCATGAAATGAGCTCAATCATTGAAAGTCAAATGTAGCCAAATATTTCCGCAATAGCATCTGACGGGTTAATATGATGATAATTCTCTCCAGGCCAGGCACGGTAATGTCTAAGGAATGAGTTCAAACATACACTTCAAATGCAACAAAATATTTCAACAAAGTATCTACATAATATCACTTGACATGCAAATGTCCTAAATGTGATCCATCATGATGCCACAAACTCCTCAGTTGCATATGGACATAAATGCAAAACACTATCTGACCAGCTTCATAATGCCAATGCACATTAACATCACATATATATATATATATAACGTTCAAAGTAACTCCACATTATGGAAGATGGTAATGGCAATCATGACCAGAAGGTGCATTCAAACAAGCATGGGATGATGATGTTGGATGCAACAGCATGGTTCCCATCATGCATCTATGCTTTAATCTTCACAAGGATGCATGAAAAGCAAAATTACACCCCTTCAAGATGTTGCTAGTAGGTTTGTGACTTTCCATTAGCTTCAGGCGCAGCACCACCAACTTGATTCTTCTTTTGCCCAAATGGGTTCTTCGAAAATGTAACACGGGTTAAGGAAAATGGAGTACATGTTAAAACTTGAATAATAAGAAAAAACTATATTGTTCCACCAATCCAAGAACAATTTTTAGTGATCACTGCCTTCCCTTGCTCTAACCAAAGTTTATAGTAATTAAAATATTTTATTTGATTGTATCAAAGACACAGCAATCTAGAAATAAATTATAGTTCAGAATTGTAATATTTGTCTCAAGTGACTCATTTATCTTAGTTGAAAGGAGAACAAAATATAAATGTCTGCTTTGGAAAGTATTTTAATCTAATGAAGGCAATAACTTCGAGAACATACGGGTATATCTTTGACTTGCAATAGAGCAGACACCCATGATCGGGTCAAGTTGACGACAATTGACAACCTCTTATCCAACTGGCTTATAGATATAATCATGTCATTGGTCATGTCCAGAGGGGAGGGATCTGATTTCAATGTTTGTAAATTCAGCAGGTCACTGGGACTGATTTGTAATCAAAATAGACCAAATGATTTTGAAATCACATTAGTACTTCAGAACCCTACACCAGAAAACTTTCTAGAGCAATGTTGGATCATCTTCAGAAATCAGTTAATGTTCGTGAAAAAGCAAGACTCAGTTATTATTTAGTAAATTTTCAAAGGGACGGTTCAGCTCCTTCCTCATACATATTAAAGGATATTGTATTCGTATGCCACCACGGCCAGAACTAGGAAGAACTGCACCCTGCACATTTTGGTGGACAGCTATAGCACTGTTTACATCCTGCAAGAACAGTTGGACTTAGTGAACACAAAAACATAAACAAAACCCAACATTCACAAAATCTGGAACCAGCTTAAAAAGTATAGTGTAAACTTAAAGCAACAGTATGAATATAAAAAAGAGCTTCATAATACATACATCAAACTCAATAAAGCACACGGTGTTTCTCTCTTGGCGCAGAACCTTCATTTGTTTATAACCAGGTTGCCTGTGAATGGGATTACAAAAAAGGGTAGCAGAAACAATATACAAGGTGCAATTGGCATCAGTACGATCCAGATAAAGTATGAAAGTGAGGGACATCAATCAAATTTCAAAACTTGTGTCATCCTTCATTATAGAAAATGCAGCATCTTATAGAAGATAGGAATCAATTGTTTTGAAAGGTTAGGATCATACACGCTAAAGAGACCTCTCAGTTCTTCCTCATTTGTGTTCTCACCGAGATTGCCAATGAAAAGAGTATTGCACGGCGGATTGTCTTTTGAATTCTGCAAATAAGAAGAAGTATAATAATTAAACATGCTTGTAAAAAAAGATATTAAAAAACAACTGCATAAGCCTCATGTATAGTTGATTATATTATCACCTTCAAAACCAAAGAGAAAATTAGGGGTTCAAACCACATAAGGGGTATTTGGCATTTCGGAGTATTTGCAACCTGGAAGTGTAAGTAAATGGAAAGTGAAAAAAGAAAGAAAAGCACTTTACTCATTAAGTACATTCTTTCTCATTGCTTTCTACTTGTAAATCTTGTTTGCATTTTGAAAATGAAAAAGTGGAAAGTTGACGCGCAACTGACATGGCATCCACTTTCTTAATGTACTGTTTGGTTGCCATGGAAAGTGAGCAGTGGAAAGCAAGCATCAATACTCTCTTTTTTGTGTGAAAACTTGATGGGTATTTTGGTTATAGAACTTTGGTTTCAAATGCTCTCTTATCTTTTAAGTATAAATGCAAGCTTTCCATGGAATGGAATATTTCAATTTTGAAAACTAGATTGCTCAGTAGCACCCAATCTGGATGGAGTCCTGGCTCCGCCCTTGACAATATGATATAACAGTTGTTAACAATATATTATTATTTTCTTGTAAAATAATATCATATTTTCCACAAATAAGAGCATGTTTGCGAAATGGTCAAAGTAGATTATAATCTACTTTCGAATGCTTGGCAAGTGGATTATTTGGATTTTAATAATCCACCAAAAAACTAACCTGGGAGATCCTGCGACTCGACCAAGTAAAAGACAGTTATACCATTCATGATTTCACAAGATCTCAGTCCTCATTCAAAAACTCACCACCAACCCCATGTACTTTTTGGTCATTTTGGACAATAATGATAGATTATAATTTATAATCCACCAAATTTATCAAACACTTTGAATTATAAACCCACATGAGTTATAATCCATGACCCAAGTGGATTATAATCCAAAGTTCCCAAACAGGCTCTAAAACAACATTGTTGTCAATAAAATTATTTAAAATATCATATTCAATATAGTAATGTTATTCTCCATAAGATAATATAACTTTTGAGCCTATTTAAGTATTTTAGTATTATGCTTTTATTTAAAATTTTATTTTTTTTATTAAATTAGCATAATCTCAAGGAGTTTATATTTACTTGTTTAAACCAAATTATTTTTAACTCTAGAAAACAATAAATTTTTATTAACATATCTATGTAACATAATCATAGTATAATAAAGGGAAAAGTGTTTCTAAGACGTCACCTTAGAGGTGTCATCTTAGAATCCATCTAACCAAGCACCTCTGCATAATCTCAAGGAGTTTATATTTACTTGTTTAAACCAAATTATTTTTAACTCTAGAAAACAATACATTTTTATTAACATATCTATGTAACATAATCATAGTATAATAAAGGGAAAAGTGTTCCTAAGGCGTCACCTTAGAGGTGTCACCTTAGAATCCATCTAACCAAGCACCTCTTGATGCATTGATTAGACTATTCCAATGAATGAACCACTCCATTCATCATGACCTAAATGTCTCAAAACATCTCTAAAACGAAAATCATAATGTTCAAATACTTCTAATACATATTTTTCATTGTCTTTTTAGTTGTAATATCATAAAACTGTTAATTTTACAACCACGTGATGCATGAGTAACTAAACCCCAATATGCCTAATTTTTGTTTATATACAATCCAAAACATATAAAACAAAATGAACGGAATGGATCAAATAAATTGATTGCATATAACATAGTTTTGAAGATGCTTTTCACTATAATAAAATACTATTAACATGTTAGAAAAGTACAACCCAATAGAAGCATATTGTTAATTAGCAAAGTATAATTACAAACACAGTGTAACACCACAAAAAAATATTTTATAATATATGAATCATTTTAAATCAAATGGTCTTATTTACCTAATATGAATATTTTTATAGCGATATTTTTAAGAAATAAGACCTTAAAGTAAAATAATGCAATTTAACAAACTTATATTTATGTTGGTAATTTAGTAAACATAACATTCTTTATAGGAATAATGCAATTTGTTCATAAATATTATTAATTAACTAGATAATATGAAACAATATTATTATATGCTAAGACAACATTATTTAATCTTTAACATATAATTATATAGAGAAATAAAATATTTTCCATAGTTGGAAATAAAAAGTTGTGTGTGTGATTTGAAACACAATTAATAAGATACTTCAGGATAGTTGCAATTACTTTGAGATACAAGTTGCCGGATAGAGATTGCCCAAATTCTGAAACTAATCTCGTAATTCAAAATCCAACACTTACCCTTCTGAAAAGATGAGTTCTTTACAATAAGGCAGGTTGCATATCATAACTACCTGAACTGGGGCATAGCCGCTAGGAGCTGGCAAAGGAGCAGGAGGAGGTAAAGCTACTTGAGGAACTGGATAGGGTCCGTACGGATCATATGTAGGTGGAGCCATGTACCTAAAGAAAAATCAACAACAAAAACTTCATTTAGATTGATGATATCACGGTTCCAGAAAAAGTTTTTATCAATCCAATTCTTCCCCTAAAAATATCATTTAGCAACTAATGAATCACAAGCAGTATATTACCAGCCAACTGCTACTTATATTAAAAGTGGCTAGCCATAAAGAACATCTTACCCCGGGGTTCCCCAGACATGTGGTGGTGGCGGTGGAGGTGGTGTTGGGTAAGGAGAAGGACTCGGATACCCTGCATGAGTATAGTCACCACCAGTTCGCAAACGCTTACTTGGGTCAAATGAGCTGGAATCGGCTACTACACCTACAGATTTAAGAAAGAAATTTTGTAGTAAATATTACCATTCAGAGATACACAGACCAGCACATCATCAACTCTTAACTGTTGAGATGTTTACATGCTAACAAGCAGCAATAACTCTAAAAACACCAAAACCATACACTGGTTTGAGCAACAGTATTATACTTGGGTACAAAAAGCTTTAAAAACGCACTGTGTATAGATTATAAGGAAACCCTATTAATGTTAAACCAAAGGTCACCTCTGAAATGATAAATAAAATAAGCGAATAACAGCTGGAGTACACAGTACATTAAATCAAATTATCAATTAAATACAAAAACACAATACCTTTTACCTCCAAAAATAAATATGTCATCTTTAAGCAACATAATTTTTTTTTTCAAAATTTCTCAGAATGGTTGTACACCAATCTACCCAAACAGCAAGTACAAATGGCAAGTTCCATTGATAACGCTACCAACAAGACTCAGTTTTTATAGATTAATTTACTTAAACAATGCTTAAGCTATCTGCTAGTGGAAGAGTTAAATATGAGCTCAACATTTCTTTGATCCATCATAATTAAAAAAATGTTTCATTTCCCCCTGTTTATGTGCATATAACTATGAAACCACAAATCAGGTATTCAGAACAATGAAAATGCATATAGACAGAACTGTTGCCATATTGATCAAAGCAAAATTCATGCGGTAGCGCGCATCCAACTTAAAAATAGATATGGGGAAACTAAGCAAACAAACGTTAGTGAGCATGTGAATGTCATGGGGCTGGGCTCAAATGAAATTGTTGTTCCACAAACATCAAAGTTGGACTAAGTATTGCCACCTTGTAGGACTGCACAAGAAACCAAAAGGCGGAGAAACCAAAAGGCGGACCGACTAATAGGTGAAAGAAGTCAAAGATGCAGCAGAATAATCTTCGTTCAATTTGTATGTGCCATTGAACTTCTACCAGGCCTTCCCATCATATATATCCTTTTAACGGAGTTTTTAAATGTATTGGGATCAAAAAAGAGCGTTTTGAATTAACTGGGTTGTACTAAATATGGTGGAGCGGTAAAACATGCAGGTAGAGAGAGTAGCAAAATGAGAGACAGATAAAAGATGAAACATCAAAGGAAAGCCAGTTTTAAAATATCTCTCTCTTGGATAATCCGAAATAAGCAAGATTTAAAGACATTTAAAAATATTTAAAATTCCCAACTTACGAAAAACTAGATCATAAGCTCACCTAAATAAGCTAAGTTTGACCAAGTAAATAACTTTTCTACAATGTAGTTTTTATTAAATTTTACCATAACAGCCAAAAGCCAACAAAAGCTAACATTGCACAAAAGCTTCTGAAAATAAGCTCCCCAAAACAGCCTCTTATATTCGAACAGCTAGTTATTTGATACATATGGATTGAAGTTTGAAGTAGTTAACTAAATATGGATTGCTCAATTGCACTTTTGCTAGCCTTTACTTGGGATATTTTATATTTTTTATGAATAATTACAATTCAATATATGATAAAGAATATATAAGCTTAAAAAAAGCAGAAACTCATAAATTTATATAATCCTATGGTGCATAATCCGATTAAACACTATCTGCTTCCGAACCACATGCATAATGAAATCATGCTTTAGAATCTTGATAATAAACCCTTTTTGGTTTTTAGCTTAGTTTAAATTCTACCAAAATATAAGACTAAACTAAAATCACAAATTTTCAATTATCAAAATAAAATGATCATAATTTATGAATGAAATAATAATATATTTTCTTTGTAAATTTAAAGAATGTTTAAATGTTTCCAAAATGGGTTTATAAAGATTTCATCTCAAACATGAGTTTTTACCTCTTTTAAATATAGTTTTTAAACCCAAAGGCAACCAAACAATTTTTTTAGTAATGCAAGTTCTGCTATGGGAGAGAGACAAAGAGAAGGGGTGACCGCCTGGACGGGGACAAGAGAGAAAGGGGACGGAGGGAGAGAGTAGCAGCAGCAAAACAATATATGATAGAAAAGGAAGCAGGAAATATTCACGTTTACGATGCTTGAAAAAGTTCTTTTGAAACTCACTTTGAAACTTTTTTGAAGCATAAGGCGTTTAAACTCAAAAGAGGAGCTATTTATTCCTTGAAGCACACGCCTTATCACTTCAGGAAAATTAATGTGCGCTTCACCCTCCATAAAGCGCTTCCCTTTAAATAAGATAGGAGGATATAAACAGATTATTGACTCAAATTAAAATGCGGCCCTTGTGTATCTTATGATCATGTGACTATAAATAATATATATAGCTTATGTATTTAGCCTAGTTTATTATGATTTGCATCTATCCTTCTGATATTTAGTTCTTATTTACTGATCAAGTCATGGATGTATCTAATTGTTAATTATTATACCACTATTGATATATTTACAGTATTTATGAATTTAAAAATTAAAATATAATTAACTCATGAGGTTTTAGCCTCTCCCATTGAAACTTTACGCTTCGCATCATAAAATGATTTGACGCTTTGCCTTGCACTTTTCTAAGCATTAGCGTTTAGTGTAAAAACTAAGGGAATAAATGCTTTCAAAAGATACAAAAACAATGAAAATATTGGATCAGTGAAGAATAGCCATCAATGGAAGTGGATAAGAAGAATGAGGCCTGGGAAGAAGACAATGTTTCATGTAACAAGTGCGCTAGACGGACTAGGCGTTTCAGCCCATGCCTAGTGCCTAGACGTCTGGGCGGCGTCTAGAGATTTGGCTATTTTTTTAAATTATTAAATTATAATAATTGATAAAAATATGGGGTGGTCAAGGAGCTTTTGCTGAAGGTCGAAGGAGGTAATGAAGGCGTTCATATTTAGAGGTTAAAGGAGTTTGAATGAGGTTGAAGAACGTAAAGGCTGCAATGCAAAAAATCACGACCAATGACTAAAGAGTGCAGTCCACATATGCAGACAATGCTCCCCTAAACACTCCTAAAAACTAAATGGGCAACCTAGGTACCGCCAAGCGCTAGGCGCTAGTTAGGCAGCCTAGGTACCGCCTAGGCCTAGACATACGCCTAGGCGGACTAGGCGGAGGCTTTTTAAAACAGTGGATAGCACTAACAACCTTGATGTATTCTATCAAATTTTGGTATAGTTCCACTGATAAGAAGAGGAAAGAAAATAAAAAGCCAAAGTTGTGCCTCATTTGTCATTCATTAGACTACAAGTTCCAACAATCCTACCAGCCACTTTAGACTTAACCAAGTTATGCCCAATATAGACTAATTGTGTTGATCTGTTATACACTCTGAACTTGGCATGATTTGTAGCACCAATAGCAACTTGTTGCTTATCAAGAGGGACGTGCTAAAGTCTCAAAACTCCACAATGGTTCCTACTATAAACATGTGGAAGAACCTCTAGATTTTTGAATCACACATATGTTTACATGAGTCCATTCTATCACTTGTAAGAGTTAACTGCAATTAGATGGATGGACTACGCAAATTTGTTTAGCTAACGAGTTCCTAAATTTCGAAAGCTCGGAGATAGAAGTCGGTTAAAGCCACATATAACTCCGTACAATCCACTAAGAGACAGATTATGTCAACTCGAGAAATGTACATCTAATGAATTAAGACACTATCATTTCTGATGGGTATCATCCAATATGTCATATCGGGATTTCTCCAAGGATATAAATAGCAACTATTAAAGAATGGCAACATAATCATAGTGAAATCAAGATTTCCATTGATTAAAAAATCTACAGGAAAGGAAATTTAACAATTAATTTTTCGCAATAAAAATGAAAAAGAATCATCTTCCTCTTTATTACACAGCATTCCCAAGAATCATACATTATAAGCAAAAGTTTTCACTTCATTAAGCTGTTGCTCCATACAGTGCACTAATAATTCCCATTGATCCAAACAGTGAAGATTTAATTTTTTAGACAAATAATAATAGAATGCCAAACAAAAAGGTTAGAGCTAACAACTTCCATGCGGATACTTTGCACAAACTACTACTTTAATAATATTAAAGTGGTCGATTAGACAACAACCCAAGGCTAAGAACTAGAAAATAAACCTGAAAGAACACACAACCTACCTCTCTTTACATATAGATTCTTCTTGGCCATCTCAGTGTGCAGGACCGACTTCTTATCGGCATCAAAGACCAAATCCTGAAATCCCCAACATACCACTTTCAAATTCATAAAAAATCCAAAACCGGACAACAGTTGAAGCACAGGAAAAAAAATCAAAAAGGATCACCTGAACTGCAGTTTTAGCAGCCATTGCCTGCTGAGCAGTAGAAAAGAGCGCGAATCCCATGGGCTGCTCTCCTTTAAAGTTCACCTGCGAAGCTTCGTACCCAGGCAGCCATCGCAAGAGATTCTGAAGCTCTCTCTCCTTCACGTCTTCAGGCAATCCAGAGATAAAGATTGTACGAACCTACAGAAGAGAGAGAAGAAGTCGATAACGGCGATTCTTGAAGATTCAGAGGATGAAGAAAATAAACCTGAAAGAACACACAACCTACCTCTCTTTACATATAGATTCTTCTTGGCCATCTCAGTGTGCAGGACCGACTTCTTATCGGCATCAAAGACCAAATCCTGAAATCCCCAACATACCACTTTCAAATTCATAAAAAATCCAAAACCGGACAACAGTTGAAGCACAGGAAAAAAAATCAAAAAGGATCACCTGAACTGCAGTTTTAGCAGCCATTGCCTGCTGAGCAGTAGAAAAGAGCGCGAATCCCATGGGCTGCTCTCCTTTAAAGTTCACCTGCGAAGCTTCGTACCCAGGCAGCCATCGCAAGAGATTCTGAAGCTCTCTCTCCTTCACGTCTTCAGGCAATCCAGAGATAAAGATTGTACGAACCTACAGAAGAGAGAGAAGAAGTCGATAACGGCGATTCTTGAAGATTCAGAGGATGAAGTGAGAGGATCGATTCAGTACCTCGTCGGTTGGTGGACGATTAGGGTTTTCGACGGGGATCGGAGGCGGAATCGGCGGCGGCGGGGCCCAGTGCTGGTGGTGGTACGGGTGGATTCCGGGGCCGGCCATGAGATTAAAACCCTAACCCTAGTTTTTTTTTTCCTTTTTTGTCTCCTTGCTTTTTTGCCCTTTTGGCTATCCGCTCGATATTAAATCAAAAATCGAGGGTGTAGAGAGAGACGGCAACGTGGTTTTGGGTGTGGGTTTATAAAGAAGATCCGCTGTGATTTTTGGACAGCTGTAGCCCGTATGTTCTTCTTCCAAACAACTTTTCCATACTCTCTTTTTAGAGCCCGTTGAGATGGGGTATTTTGTCCGGAAAATTAGGAGAAAAGCCGCTAAAATGGCAAAATACCTCATTCAAACGGGTCCTTAGTTATTTGGTACTCTCACTCACAAACGAGTAGGATCATGATCACTCACCACATGAAAACATCAGCTAACTTGGCTCTGATACCAATCGTGATCAGGACTATTTTAACTTTGATACGACAGACCTAGCTCGTGGGGAATACGGTGTAGACGGGGAAGAGGATATAGATATTGTTTATAAATATATCTTCTTCTTCGTTCACATGCATATCAAAAATTAAAGAAAAAACAGTAATGAATAGTAACAATAAACAGTAACGACGTGAACAGTAATGAATAGTAACAGTGGAAGTAATTTCATATGGTGAGTGATCATGACACTACCCAACTAGAAAACGAATCCAGCTGTTTAGTTTTCATCCGTATTTGAAATCCTCGGCTAATGTCAGATATGACCACCCGGATCAACCCGATATTGATGAGAATTCAATGGGAAATTTAAAGGAAGGAATTAGATGTAAGAGTTGCGCTAAAGCCCATATTCTCTTTAAAAACATGTAAAAGAATGCATAAATAGGAGAACCTGTTTAATTTGATTGATAAACGAGTTAGAATATTTGATGATAGCTTTTAGCATATTTTAGCCCAATTTGTATAATTGAGATTTAAGTGGTAAATATCCTGACTTTGGTTTTAATTTGCAAATATAAATAATTTTGGAGGTGTATACCTAATTAGGTAAATTTAAGTTAACCCTCAACTTTGAGGGACTTCTCAGATAGCTCCTACATTCTGTTCATTCCACTCAACCCCTTCAAATCTTTGGGTTTCTCACTTAACCCCCTAATCTTAAAGTTTTTCAGGCACAACCCCTATTTAATCGATTATTAGTAGAGTAACGAGAGTATGCCTTTTGAAATGTAGCCCCTCAAAATGAAAAAAGATAAATAGATAATTTTTAATAAAACGAGAGGCATTTTTGTCATTTGTTGTCACATGTTTCGCTGTGACCCGTCAAGGTTCATAATATTACTTTGGTCTGTTAAGTGAGATCATACTCCCTTTAAAATGGTAGTTGTGAAAAATTTTCCATAAATAATGTTACCCACGTTGTTTTACGATATTAGATTCTAATCCTAATTAAACTAAATTAATTATCATTATTAATTAATTATATTATATTCCACTTGTAAACAAAGCAGAAGAATCCCCTCCTTTGAGTAAGAGCCTCTGCACCTCTTGTAGGCATCTCCTATCTCCCATGGGTATCTTTTTCTTCTCTTGTTCGTTCGCGCACAATGGGGTTTGTTGATGGGGTTTTTTGATTGGTTAAAAGGAGATTTCGTTGTGGCTTTTGAGGTGGAAGATGTTTAGTGATTTACTCTCATCTGCAATTTAGGGTAAAGGTTCTTGGGGCGTCAAGGAGTCTCAGGTGGGGGTCCTTTAAGGATGGTTTGGAGGAGGTGTTGTTATTGATATTTTGACATGAAGGATGATTTTCTCAGCCAATGAGAGAAACTTTCACTCATGGAGGAGGAGCAACAAGATTGTCTGGTAATCAATAATGTGATGCATAAAGTGGAAGAGAAAGGGAAACTCTGCCTCTTGGCTAGGTTTTGACAATTTGATCCTTCAATAGAGATGCATTCAAAAGGACATCGCACAAGGTTTGGGAGCCATTGAGGGCTTTCACTGTTCGAGACTTAGAGGGTGGTTAATTCTTGTTTCAATTTTATTCAATTTATGATCAAGGTTGGATGATGCGCAATGGACTATGGCACTTCAACAAGCACTTGCTTCTTTTTCTTTTTAAGGAGTTCAATGGAAACATTCAACCCACTGAGTTTTTTTATTATTGATGGACTCTGTTGGGTTCATGATTATAACATTCCCCCAATTGTATGATTCGAGAGGCTAGTGAATTGATTGGAAACAAGATGGGGCATTTTGAGAGGGTGGAATCTAATGCTATCGAGATTGCATGGGGAATCACTTCGTATCAGGGTGTGGACCAATACATCTAGACCTTGAGGAAGGGGGGTGTCTCTGAAGCTAAGTTATTGTAAAATATTATGATATGTTTTACGTATGAGAGATTGCCAATTTTTGTTATTTTTGCAGGCATCTAGGGCATGTTGAAAGGGAATGTGTGAAGAACCAAATAGAAGGTGAGGCATAATATGGTTTGTGGTTGCGTTTCTCAATAGTGCAATCAAAAAAATGATAGCGGTGGGAGACGATTGAATGAGAAGAATTATGATTTTAGGGAGTTCTCTCACTATAGTGCTTCATATGAAAATACATTTCATGCAAAGGAGACTGAAGTCACTGATTGGGCTGCTACAAATATCACGGTAAAGTTAGTGGTGTGCAAGTATTTTTACGGCAATAGTAATATGGAAGAGGATACTCGTGTTAGTGAGGAAAGGGGAAAAGGATTGAAATTTGGGTGAGGAGGATCATTTTCATTGATGTGCAGCAAGACCAGAGGGGGGAGTTCATGGCACATATTTGGGAAAGCATAAAGAAAGTGATGAAGTGCCCGTGTAGATTATTACCAAGAAACTAGCTATTAGTAGTGTTGAATCAACAGCAGTGGTTGCATGTGTGCAGACCCGCTGAAGCCAATGAAGAAAAAGCTTTGGCAGCTAAAATAGAATGGTTGCTAGTTCAATCGGGGTTTGCTAATGATTTCACAGTAGATAGAAGGGGGTTAGGAGGAAGTTTTTGCTTGCTTTGGAAGGAGAATATTAGAGTTTCAGTTATAAATTATTCTTGATCATATTATTGCATAGATGGGGTATCCAATGGGAGTAACATAACAATTTTTTGGTTTCTATGGAAATCTCGAGGTGGCGAATAAGAGAGACTCTTATAGTCTATTGTTGGTTTCGGGAGTGGAGAACCAAACCTAAAATCAAAAATCACAAACTGTACAAAAATCATCTTATCGGTCGACCGACACAAGCTCATCGGTCGATCGATGTGAAGCCAAAAAATATTACAGGAGTTTCGGGACGGTCAACCAACGGGCTTGCCCAGATCGACCGAAAATGTGCACGAGAAACCCTGTAGAAAATAGGGTTCTGGACGGTCGACCGAAGCAATGATATCAGTCGACCGATGGTGATCAACCAGTCGACCGATGAGATGATATCGGTCGACCAAAGTCGAGTCAGGCGGTTTCTTAGTTCGGGTTGGAATCTGTTTTTGGGCTGTGTATATATTTCCTAAAACATTTTAGGGTTATGTGAGGACGTCTTTGTGAGGGTTTTGACGGTACTTTGAGATCAGAAATCTTAGAGAGAGAGTGGTCTATTGTGAGCATTGTAATCTTCTTCAATTAATCAATGAATTTCTGGTGTGGCTCCCGAGGACATCGACATGTTTGCTGAACCTCGTTAAATCTGGTGTTTGTATTCTTTTGTTTGTTCTTTCCTGTAAGTTTTCTTTTATTTGTTATGATTTCTTGCTTACCTACTTTCGACACAAGATCTGGAAGGGCGCGTGTTGTCGTGTGTTCAACCTCAACAACTGGTATCAGAACTTCATTCGATAAAGTTTGTGTGTGAAAGAGATGGCAGAAGAAAGCAAATCGAATATCGAGAAGTTTGATGGATCAAACTTTGCCTACTGGAAGTCGCAGATGGAGAACTATCTATACCAGAAGGATCTTTATCGTCCGTTGATGAGAAAAGCTAAGGGAAAGAAGAAGGAGGAATCAGACGAGGACTGGGAAATATTGAATCAGAAGACTCTAGGGAGGATTCGGTTATCACTCACCAAATCAGCCACCCATAACATATTGAAGGAGAAGACGATGGTGGGGCTTATGGAAGTGCTCGCGAAGATGTACAAGCAACTGTAAGTCGCAAACAAGATGCATCTCGTCAGGACACTCTTCAACCTCAAGATGACAGAAGGATACCCATTCACGTTGTTGTAGATTGTCTAAAAATTACTGCAGATAGTTGATCCCCATCAAATACTAATAACAAAAGTTACAATTTGATGACTTTCAGAAAGCTACAACTTGAAGACTTTCACGTAAATTGAGAGAGGTTACAATCCAATAACCTTCAAAACAACTGATGAGAGCTTTGATTCAACAAGTCTTTACAATCAACAATAGGGATTACAATCCGACGGCCCCTACAAATCGAGGAAAAGTCAACGTCTCAATCGACCAGACAAGGTGGCACCTCCTGTGTCGGCTCGAAAGGTGACTCAAAGTTCTAGACGAGACGACATCTCCATGTCGACTCGAAAGACGACTCGAAGTCCCAGAATGAGACGACACCTCCATGTCGACTCAAAAAGAGACTCGAAGTCCCAGACGAGATGACACCTCCATGTTGACTCAAAAAGCAACTCGAAGTCCCAGACGAGATGACACCTTCATGTCGGCTTGAAAGGCGACTCGAAGTCCCAGACAATATGATACCTTCATGTCGATTTGAAAAGTAGACGTCTTAATTGACCAGACGAGGTGACACCTCCCATGTTGGCTCGAAAGGTGACTTGAAGTCCTAGATGAGATGACACCTCCATGTCGACTCGAAAGGCAACTCGAAGTCCCAGACGAGACGACACCTCCATGTCGACATGAAAGGCGGTACTAGCCGGCCCCTCTTATCGAAGCCGACTCGCCGAGAGTCTGCCTGACTCAGTCGACCCAACGATTCGACACTTCTTCACATCGACACGAAAGGTGCTGCTAGCCAGCCCCCCTATCGAAGCCGACTCGCCGAGAGTCCACCTGACGCAGTCGACCTGATGATTCGATGCTTCTTCACGTCGACACGAAAGGCGCTACTAGTCGGCCCTCCTATCGAAGTTGACTCGCCGAGAGTCTACCTGACTCGGTTGACCCGACGACT